CTCGAAGTCATCTTATGGTACGGCAACTGCATGGTGATGATAAATTCGAGAAAAGTCCTATAGTACGAAGTTTGCTCGATTCTCTTGGAAATATCGATTTTGCTAGCGCGATTTCCGCTCTTCTTTATGACTGTAACTTTCGCTGCGGAATTTTTGTGGTGGATTCCTGGGGTCCGAAAAGAGTCAATGAACTAAGTGTTACAGATGAAACACAACACAAAACCTGCTGCATGGGAGGACGCCGCTCAGTTTTTCAAATCAGATCCCATCAATATACATGCGCCTCCACTGCCAACTGCAGGAACGGTGAGTGAAACGACAACAAAGGTTTTTTTTTGGAAAATAAGCGATGGAATGAAGCGCGATGATAAGCTGGAGGGAAAACTTTTTGCTATAAGTAGTGTCTGGAAAACAGTACTACCATCAGGGTCAACCGTCCGTTGGACAAAGTCCAACGAGGGGATGGGGGGTCCGTATTTGGGGGGGGAAAGGGGGGGTCGTATTTCGCGAGGTAGCGTCAATGTTACAGTAAGGGAAGGGATGTTTTTATGGAACGGATAGTGGGTTCTTGTAGGCTGGGCTTTTGGGTTGAGTGTGAGTGTGAAAATTTTGCCGTTTCACGTGTTCCATATATCCCCCCCCCACCCCGCTCGACGGTAATGACGGCAATTTTTGGAAAGCAAAAAAGTGGCGGAGTTGGGCTGTATGTTGGAGTCTCAGAATTCAGAATCAAATACTATAGAATCGGCCCCCTGCGGCAGGCGAGGGTGGTGGAGGATGGTCGTGAGGAGTTGCCTCCTGGAGGGGGGTCGTATCGAGGCCCTCCAGAGGGGAGGGGGGGGGGGTCGTAAAATTTTTGAAATTGGTCCAACGTGACGGTTGGCCTTGACTACCATGAAGATTGACGGTGTAGTTGTCGACTTGAGGAGTGCAATGTGGGCCCGAATTCTGAGTACCTAACTTATGTAAGCATTGACGTGAGGACTGGTAGGTTCTATCTGTGGGTGCTCGGTGCCGAATAACGTCGTATTTTCTTTCGATATTCTAATTTGCTCACGTTATTAATGTCTTAGAATTAGCTAGTTGAGCTAGTTGAAGCATTCTCCAAAAATCAATGCCAGAGTCTGTGATAGTTCAGGGATCAAGAGCTGCGAAAAAGTCCGATTTTTCTGAGAGTTGCGAGATTATACAGACTCCTCGGGATGTTTGTACATTCGTTGAATTTGCGCCAAGGATGACAGTCTTCTTTCAAAGGATTTCAGTTTTTCTTTTCGTTCTCAACACCCAACCCTTGGGTTTAACATTTGATCGCAGTAATCCAGATCAAGACAACCGCAGAATGCGCCCTGATAATTATTGCGAGTGTAGAAAATCGGAAATTAATTACTTAAGCTGAATTAATGTAAAAAAGAAAAGGAAAAACGGTGGAAAGAGTGGTCAAATGTTTCAAAACCTATGAATTACCTCGTGTATAAGTCTTGGTTGAATTTTAGCGTAGAGTACTCCCACCGCCACCTCCTCCTATATCAGAATGTGATCACGACCATGATTATCATGAACACGTACACAGTGACGCGTCTGCTTCACGGATGCGAGAGACTAGCGGAAATCGGTCAAAAGATCGTGAATCTGAGGTCAAATGTTTTGGGAATTCCGCCTTGATAGATCTCAGCGAATGTTTTGTGTATTGCAGGAGGAGGGCTCTGCTGCGGTTTCCGGTCATGTTAGCCGAGATCACTCGGAAATGTCCAAAGGAACCGTTGCAGAATAGGACTCTGCTGCGGTTCTTATGCCCAAAACCCAGCAGAGTCCTTTTCTTGCAACATTTTTCTTCTAATTTTAAGGTAAATCACTTTTTCCTATCTTTTGAATAACGATACCTAACAATTTGAGCGGGGCAGTTCTGAAGAAAACTGCGATTAAACTTCCCTACAAGATATTTCATGCATTGGTTCTAGAGATAAAGAGAAACAAGAAGTGAGAAAGTGAATGGAAACTTAGTTAACTGCTGTTTTAAGCCGCAGTTCGCGTTGCGAATGTTTCACAAGAATGCTGGGTTGTGAACAAAACTTTCGCCCCAGGCGGGACTAGAACCCGCACCTCTCGCTTTCCGGGCAAGTGCGCTACCAGTTACGCTACCGGGGCACCATTTCATTCCAACTCAGCTTTTCATTTATACTTAAACTTCAATTCATTGCTCAAAGCTTTCAGCCTCGCGGTCATTGCCGATATCGGCTAACCGGCTCAACGCTTTTATATGTGTGACTGCTGACAAGCTGTGTTAAGTACACCATAAAGAACTGAGTTGAGATGAAATGGCGCCCCGGTAGCGTAACTGGTAGCGCACTTGCCTAGACAAGCAATGAGGTTGCAGGGTTCGAGTCCAACTGTACGAAAGTTTCCGAACTGACAAGAGGCCCCAAATCAACTTGGAAGGGTGATAGAGTAATCTACGATGGATGTGTCCATGGATGGTCAGGTATCTCCCACATTACTCACATTGGCCAGTCAGTTCTAGTCGTGGCCTTATAGCAATCCATTGTGGCGCACATTTCGTGGCGATAACAAGCACAAGCATGTTATGTTTTGCGGGCTATCTCGTCATTACCATAGAAGGATTGTTTGACACGAACCGACCTAGGGTTGTGCTTAATATCCACTCAATCACGTATCACAACTAGGAGGAGGTCGAGTAGTGCAAGTGGCAGGCGCACTACTACGCGAGCGGTTCTCAGGGATCAAATCTGGGTCTGTGAGTGGCGCACAACCAAGCCTTCCATCCTCCGGGTCGGTTAATTGGTACCAGACTTGTCTGGGAGGATAAAAACACTGACTGTACATCGCTAAGTCATTGTATAGGCCACATCGCATTCAAACGCCACTACGAATGTACAAATGGAAGTAGAATGCGTGCCGCATCCCAAAAAGGGATTGATCAACGGCAAATGCTTTATCCTTTATCCTTTTCCTTCCTTTACATTTTCGCCTACCCTGTCAGTACTTTGTCGCTGGAGTTCTGTCACCTAACAACCGTTTTGTCCTTGTGGGGTCTTCTATCAGATCCACCATATTTTGTTCCTACAGCAGCATTTTGTCCCACAATATTCTTGCTTTTCTGCAGTGTTCTAATTTACCAGTGCGATAAAAAAGCTTCAGTACATTTTTGTACATTGAAACTTGCTCATAGAGTGGTGCAACTATTTCTTGACACAGCAATGTAGCGTAAAAATACTGTTGGCGATTGGCGGAAGTGCGGGTAATCAGGCAAGGTAGAAAGGTCTAGAACGCGTTTTCAGTTGCGGTCTCACACACATCTTGGGTCTATGTCACGATTATGGAATCAAATCGAAAAAGTGATGTTGTGCTGATGCTGATGTTCCATCTCGCTTAGTTTCAGTCTTCGACCAAAGTCGTTCAACAACAAGAACACCATGAGTGCTCACCGGAAACAGCCAAAGCTTAGGTAAGCTGGACGCTGATTTTCCTTCAAATAGTTCCTCAAATAAAGGCTCATTTTTTCAGATTTTCTACTTCAGTTCAAAAATCGACAGAAATAACGATAGCACCATCAGCAGCGATTCACTAACACGTCGCAATAAACATTCAAGTTATCGGGTCATATACAGGATATGAGCCACTCCTTTCGCGGGCGTAGTTAAGACTTTCAACACTGTGCTCGATGAGCACAACCTTAAATACACTCCAGTTCTTATGGCACGAAATAGCATCAGGTTAACAATAACGCTAACAGTGATAACAGTGCAGGCGAGAGTATGTGAACGCTAGTGCCTATCTTTATTGGCGGCGCTTTTTCGGGTGCACCACTTCAATTTCGAACCAAAATTTTGCATTTGACCATCAGGCCGGCGGTGGTCCAGGTGTTCGTTTGACGTCCCGAGGGTCTGGTCAGACTTCTTCACGAAAGCTCTGAACGAAAGGAATGAAGGACTTCGTGTCCCTCGAGCGAGGAGGATCCACTGGACAACTCTAGCACGCGACAGGGACGAATGGAGACGTTGCTGGCGCCCGCTCGAGCAAATCGACGATCAACGGGACGACAGGTGATACAGGTGATACAGTTGCATTTGAATACTTTTTTGACCCCTAAATTGTTCTGCTCCTCGCAAGGACGACCCCCTATATGCTCAGCGACCAAGTCTCTGTAAGTCAACCCTTCAACAGCTGTAGGTGTGTGCAAATTTACACATGCGTCAATAGCAGCTTTAATATTTATTCAGGAAAATAAACTCAATAGAAACTATCCAGCCCACAAAGACATTGAACATGTCGTAGCAAGGGATTCGATACCAGGATGTCCGTATGAGAACAGCACATCTCTTCGCTGCTTCATTTTCAGCTTATAACTGCTATGATGGGCGGAAGTGGTGTAGTGGCAAGTGGCACGCTTACCACGCGAGCGGTCCGGGGATCAAATCCTGGGTCGTGAGTCGCCCGGGCCAACCAAGCCTTCCATCCGGGGTCGGTTAATTGGTACCAGACTTGTCTGGGAGGATAAAAACACTGACTTGTACATCGGCTGGCCCCGCAAGTCATTGTATAGGCCACATCGCATTCAAACGCCACTACGAATGTACAAATGGAAGTAGAATGCGTGCCGCATCCCAAAAAGGGATTGATCAACGGCAAATGCTTTATCCTTTTTTATTAACTGCTGTGATCGCTCTCCTTCGATCCACTAGCTTGGAACATCGCAAAACATTACACACTTCAACGTAGTATGCGCTCATTATTTACTGGATGCATGGCGTAAACAACCCCACTGATAGTTACGGAAGACACGTAGGACACGAAGTACGGTGAACAGGACTGTTGGCTAGTTCCTTCTCGAGAAGGGTGAACGGTCACGCCTCAATGAACGATCAGCCAGCGTTTTGCCGTAAATTCTGCTAATTGAGGCAGCAGAGGTGCACTACTGTTCACTTACGCGTCGTGAAAGATCAGTCTGAGTCTCAGCATTAGCTTGAGTTGAAACGAGCACTTCCGGGTTGTCGAGAGGCAATTTTTACGGTCAAATTCAAAAACGGAACTTTTGGTCCAAACAAATATGTGCTGATGCATTTCGCGAGTTTCATAAAAAAAACGGACAAAACCTTACAAAATTAGATGTCTTAACTCTGCCCCGCATATACTCGGGTAATTAAGACAAAACGCTTTCCAGAATCAATCAGTCATTAACTTTATGGGGAAAAGAGATTCCCTGATGCGAATGAGCGAATTCAACGTGTCTCGTGCCTTTACAGCTGTTGTCCTACAATTTATATCGAACCATTTTAGTGCCGAGAGCGGATCATATATGCAGGTGCGTGGTCGTATATGTACTATGGTAACGATGTCGGACCTTAAACCCGAGAAAAAAAAACTCAAAATTTCCAGCATTCAATACCCTTCGTTGCCCCACTTTCCCAGGACTTGACTGGTTTTTCTTGAAATTGATCCTCGTCGTTGAAGTTGCCCATAAATTTGTAGCCAGGGCAAGTCTGAACAGAAGAAAACGAATGTCCTCCTTTTGGTGAGAGAACGCTTGGCGCCAACGCCGCCGTCCGGCATTAGCATTTTGGCTCCGAAAGCTGTGGCGCGAGTTCTGTACATTCTGTAATAATAATTGAATAAGTAAATAAATAAACAAAAATAAAAAATAAATAAATGATGCGATTATTACCTTCTCCGGGCCAAATACCCCATTGATATTTTGAATGCGCCATCGTGACTTACGGTATTGACCCTTGTATTGACCCCGCCTATTACATTGCGTTGACGAAAGAAATTGCGAAGCCCAACCAGACACTTTCGCATGAATTGGAGCTGTTTTTGATCTCCGGGTCGAGCTGGTGTTGGGTACAAATTTGTGTGCAAATTCAACAACGAATACATTATGAGAGAAACCCATCGCGAATTTCCTATCACGCATCTGATTTCGCGCAGTCCTATCAGAAAAGCAACCGGTCAACCGGCCGTGCTTCGATATTTAACCGTTGCTGTTTTTCCCTGGCATTAGAGAGATGACGCTATCTTTATTCGCTGGATTTCTAGCTATCGACGTTTCCATTCATTTGACGTACTCTGGGTTGTTTTTGCTATGAACGTTTGGCACTTACGTAGTTTCTGTCTCAAAAACAAGAACTAGAGCCGTCAGACCATGATCTCATTCACAGACAGTTGCCGGACAGTTGCTCACAGATAATCATGGTGCACAAAGCCGTGACTCTGGAAATGCGTCACGAGGACTTCCTCCATTTCGACCTTAGTCCGTTTGCTCTAAAATATAAAGTGCACAACACTGAGCGTTCTGCACACCTTTTCTGAAAGCTACAAATATTCTTTGCCCTGAATTTAGACTGGGTTATTTTGACGCGATTTGCAAAAACAGATTGACAGGATTGAGGAGATGGATTGCTCTCCGATATAGTGCTTTTTTTGGTTTTTTAATTCTTTTTTCTGCGTTGAAGGTAATGTCGCTCAGAGTGTGAAGTATAACAAGCGATTTGTTCCCACGTTCAAATGTGTTACAGGCATGCCAGGGTCAAATTGTCTCGGTGTTCTTGATCGGCAGCAAAAATACGAAGGATCGTACGAATAGCCTATGTATGCCTGCCGTGAAGAAAAAAGACGAAATAATCTATCAAAAACGCTCATGTTAAAGGCCACTTTGGCTGTGTTAAGGCATTGAGAGACTAAACACGGAGAAGAGAGCATGAGGCGAGCAGAAGGGGGGCGCAAACAGAAAAAATGAGGGGCGCTAGAGCTAGCGCTCGATAAAAGAAGACAAAAAAATTGCAGCAACTGCAGCTCATTTTGCAAGGTTCTAGCGCTTTTGCCGTATAATTTCCGTGTGCACGAATCTCACATCCAGTACTGTCTCTAAGGATTTGTCTCCAATCGAAGGATATGGTTCACATTGATCTGCCATGGGTTTGTGCTTTTAAGCTTTGCATGGGTCTAGAAGTACATACATAAGCATACAAGGTTGCGGCGATTATGCCGCTTTTCGAAACAAACCCTTCTATGAGTTTTGCAGATGTGGAGCCAGCCGTCGAATAAGCCACGATTTTCATCCTATTAGATGAGTATGAACCAAACTGATCATAAAGCCAATCGTGCGCTCCTTCCATCCCGTAAAGGATGGAAGGCTTGGCAGTCTGGCCAGGATTGGCTCCAGCATCCGACCCACGAACCTTGAGCTAAGGTAAGCCTGCTAGTGAGCTGACCCTACTGACCTGAACTGTTTTCATTTTTTTTAATAGATGAACCACTAGATCTACCAAATAGGCTCCTTAATCGCAGAGCTCAACATGATTATTAAGAACTATTTGGAACGAGTCCCAATTTTGCAGATCGATGGAGGTGGTACAAGTAGTCAATACAAGATGCGGAGATAGAAAAAAGTGATATTGAACCCCAAAAATCACGATCCGCTACAAACATCAACGAGTGAACCTCAGCATTGGCCTCTGTGACACCTTGTCCGCTAGCTGGTCCGTTCTCTCGCCTTCGCAGCTTTTCTTTCACCGCGACGCCCAATACATATCTCTTATCCTAGACTTGGGAAAAGCCTGAGTTTTGCAATTTATCGATCTATTTGAACAGTACTAACAGTACAAACTACTAGTATTTGTAACAACTAACAATTCATGGTCCCTTCTATTTATGCTTATACGAAACGTTAAAATCACGCATATACAGGGGGGGGGGCAAAAAAAAAAGACATTTTGCCTATGTCGGACTTCGGCTCTTTTTTCTTCGCAGAGATTGCTGTCGTTGACGGGAGTTCCTCAGCAGAGTATTCCCTAAGTGTTCCTCTATTAGTGTACGCAGGCTCTCCTTCACTGCCCTCACCGTCTTCAGAATATGACGTCATCTGTCACCGTCGTCAGGCTCAAGGAGGTCTACCGTAAGAGCTTCAGCCTGAAGCTCTTACGCAATTTCGTGAATCGATTTAATGTTGGATAGTTTTCTAGAGGCATTAGCTACCACTGTGCAAATCCCCTCGGAACTAGCTTTCCAGTAAGGGTCGTTATGGTACACGATCCTTCGAAGACCCCATTGAGATCGACCAGTGCACCATGTTTCCAGGGCTAATTCTTCTGATGCCGTCCACGTACGTGGCCCACTATGAAGATTTTCTTATAGAATGGAATGCACTCTTTAATAATAAGTTGGAACCGTTCGGTCTGAGTTGAGTAAAATGTGCTTAAATCCATCTGGAAGTGGAGGCAAAATGTGTTTTTTTTTCCCCCCCCCCTGTATACTATTTTATCATCTATGTATCCTTAGTTTTGCAATCTCTTACTTTCCATATGTTTGCTTCTAGCTAGAATTCTACACGACTTAGCGAGGAGCAGGTCCATATTTTAGTGTTTTCTGTGATTTCTTTTTTTTGCCATTTTCGTTAT